CCCGGAAAGTCTAATATACAAATATTGCAATTTCCCAATATCCTCCATATTTTTAAACTGCTTCCCCCCCGGCCCAGTGCCATCTCTCTCTGTTGCCTTCTGGGTGAACCTTTTTTCGGCTCATTCCCTCTGACTTGGCTCCTCTAGAGTTTATTCTGCCCACTGAGGTTTTTAAATGACTGTGTTTCATTTCCTAAATTTCTAATTAGTTACTTTTCATATCACACTGTTGCTGTTTCTTTCTGGGTGATTTATTTTTCCAACTGATTGCTTTTTCTTTAATGGGTGTTATGTTTTTCTTTATCTCTTTAAGGTTCTCCCACACATGGGGCACTTTCAGTGTCTGTTTCCCCACAGACTGTGATCTCCCAGCTGCTTTAGTCTGCTTTGTATTACAGCCCACAGCTTCAGTCGTGCTTACTACTGAGTGTGTCTTTTCATTTCTAGTTCACAGAGATGGTTATGATATCTTCCAGAGCAGCTGTCTTTTATACTTTTCCTTCATGTATTCATCTACTACCGTCATGGATTTGGAGTATAAATCTAGAAAACTCAAAGCACGAATGTACAAGGCCAGGAGAGCTAGATGGCGCTTTTCAACCTTTCCAATTCTGTGATTCTCATATACATATTGGTCACACAGCATATACATGTCACGCTCAGCTTTCAGGAACTATGTTACACATCATTAAAATCATTTTAAAAGTCTTTCATGATTGAATCTAAGAATTCATGTTTTGCATTCTCTATAAGGATCAAGGAGTAAATAAATGCCTGTCTAAAAAGCATGAAAGAGAATTTAAGAGCATATACTTCATACAGGTGGGCACTGAAAGGTCAAACTGATGATCTTCTCATTTTTCTTGCAGTCTTTTAATTCATTGTAGAGTCATCAAACCCTGGTTCTGAACTGTTAAAGTACAGAGATGGCTGTTACATCTCATTTCAGAGATGGCTGCATCCCACGATGGGTAAAGTAATTTGGCTTGCCTTTAGATAAGAGAGTCAGTAAAACATGTAAACATAAGCCACACTGGGCAGTTTTTCCACATGAGTCTGTGATCATCATACAAGTTCACCTTGGTAAAAATGACAGTCACTGGAGACCTCATGATCGCTGCCCACATGACATGCATTTCATATTGTTTTTATAAAATACAGGCTGGGGCAAAAGTAGGTTTACATATGTGAGTATGTGAAACACAGAGTTTATTCTTGTATTATTAATTATTGTATTATTTTCCATATGAACAACTGAAAACTTATTTTTGCCCCACCCTGTATTTTCTTGGATAAGATCCAGAGATTCTTAGCAATTCAAGCTACTGTCCTTGAAAAATCAATGGCCTGAAGCCACCCTGATCTGAGATCTCTTCTAAATCAGTTGAAACTATTATACATCAGATAATATTAGTTATGGATATGATAGGAAGATTATTCAACTTACCCCAGAATGTATTCAGATATGGAACTTTACTCAAAAATTCTTTGCTGCTTAAAACACTGATGATTCTATAAATATTAAACTACATGCAAATAAAAATCTTTGTAGCTTATTTTTCTAAATACAATGAATGACTGAATGTTTAATTTTCTTATACCCCCACATTTTTTTTTTCACAAGTTTTCTCATTTGGAAACATCTTAGTGTTGTATGCATAGTCTTTATAATATTTACTTTCTAAATGGAACAAAACAATTATTAAAATACATACTATTAAAACAAAGATCTGGAGAAAAAGATCACTTTAACATGAAAAAAATGTTAGCTTTTCTATAATTATGAAACTCACATATGTTAATCTTTAATGTCCTGCATTTTCGTTTTGATATTTCCTATTTGACATGCATGGAGAATTCTGACATTCAAGGTTCTTCATAATTGAGAATGAAAGGTCAGGGTCAGATTAGCATCAATAAAATATATTTATCGTTGGGATTATTTTTTTTAAATTTGTATGCTTTAAATGGTTTAGACAAAAACATCTTAAATAATGGAATCGATGTTTGAGTTAAAATTTAACACAAAGCTTAGACAACATAAATAAATTCT